TTCCTCTTCCTCTTCCTCTTCCTCTTCCTCTTCCTCTTCCTCTTCCTCTTCTTTTTCTTCTTCTTCTTCTTCCTCTTCTTCTTCTTTTCCTTCCTCTTCCTCTTCTGCTACTGCTGCTGGAGATATGAGCTCAATTCCTGTGTAAGGAACATTTTCGTAGAGTATTTCTGTCTCTTTTTATGGGACCTCAGACCCCTCTCCGCCTGGATCAGCCCTGACCGGGAGGGTCAAAGCCCACCACCTCTCAATTGATCTTAATTGTGTCGATAGGAGTGTAACAGTACCGATATTTCAAAAAACATTAATAGAATAAATAAAGATCAAAACAAATCATCCACTTTTTCCATAAAACTCAAAACAAATCACTTCGTTGATCCCCAAAACTCAAACCAACTCTTGACTTTTTTTTTCACGTCTCTGCATTCAAAATATATCACTGCCAAAAATGACCAAGATTCAGGCGTCAAACATGAATCCACCCATCAGCCGAGCCAGCTACTCAACAAATTGTCCACTTTTTTTTTACTCAAAACTCAAAACAAATTGTTCACTTTTTTCCCCTCAAAACTCAAAACAAATCGTCCACTTTTTTCCCCTAAAAAACTCAATACAAACCGTCCACTTGTGTTCTCAAGGCTCAAAACAAATCTTCCTCTTTTTTTCTCAAAACTCAAAACAAATCACACCCTTCTCAAAACTCAAATCAACTTGTGACTTTTCTTCGTCTGCGCAGTCAGAACAAATCGCCCCCCAAAATGACTAAGATCCCTGCGTCGAACATGAAATCGCCTGACGTGTGGATCCATCAGCCGAGCCAGCTACTAAACAAATTTCAAAAGAAATTGTCAACTTTTTTCCCCTAAAAAACTCAATACAAACCGTCCACTTGTGTTCTCAAGGCTCAAAACAAATCTTCCTCTTTTTTTCTCAAAACTCAAAACAAATCACACCCTTTTTATCCCCAAAACTCAAATCAACTTGTGACTTTTCTTCGTCTGCGCAGTCAGAACAAATCGCCCCCCAAAATGACTAAGATCCCTGCGTCGAACATGAAATCGCCTGACGTGTGGATCCATCAGCCGAGCCAGCTACTAAACAAATTTCAAAAGAAATTGTCAACTTTTTTCCCCTAAAAAACTCAATACAACCCGTCCACTTGTGTTCTCAAGGCTCAAAACAAATCTTCCTCTTTTTTTCTCAAAACTCAAAACAAATCACACCCTTTTCATCCCCAAAACTCAAATCAACTTGTGACTTTTCTTCGTCTGCGCAGTCAGAACAAATCGCCCCCCAAAATGACTAAGATCCCTGCGTCGAACATGAAATCGCCTGACGTGTGGATCCATCAGCCGAGCCAGCTACTAAACAAATTTCAAAAGAAATTGTCAACTTTTTTCCCCTCAAAAACTCAATAAAAATCGTCCGTTTGTGTTCTCAAAACTCAAGACAGATCGTCCACTTTTTTACCCAAAACTCGGAACAAATCGTCATCTTTTTTCCCAAAACACAAACCATCTTGTGACTTTTCTCCGCAGTCAAAACAAATCGCCCCCCAAAATGACCAAGATCCCAGCGTCAAACATGAAGCCGCCCGACCTGTGGATCCACCAGCCCAGCCAGCTAGAGCTGCAGAAGATGGAGAGGTCGCAGCGCAGCGAGAGTTCGGCGTCCGTGGCAACCAGCACACTGAGGAGGGGGTCACGGGGGTCAGCTGATCAGACAGACGACCAGGCCTCCACGCTGGACCGCAGGAGGAACTCTTTTGTGGGTGAGCGGCTACGGTGATTTTGTTTGTCTGTTTGTTTGTTTTTGGAGAAGGAAGAACTCTTGTGGGTGAGTGGTGGTGGTTTTGTTTGTTTGTTTGTTTTTGGAGGAGGAAGAACTCTTAATGTGGGTGAGTGGCGGTGGTTTTGTTTGTTGAGACGGTTAAAAGTTTATCTCCTGACATTGGAGGAAGAAGAAGAACTCTTTTGTGAGTAACGCCTCTAACCTTCGGCACTTATATGACTTTATTGTGTTGCAAGTGCCGTAAAACACTTACTAAAACAAACAAAACAAAACAAAGGAAGGGAACTCACTCGAGATAAAACGGACACCCTCCTCCCCAGGTGACGGTGGCTACCCGTCCAGCGGAGAGGAACGCTACCAGCCGATCCAGCCCCGCAACCTCATCCGACCCAAGCCTATCGCGCTTCCGGTGGACGCTCAGTCGGGCTTCAGGGACCGTGAGTGTTTGCTAGTGATCTGTGTTGTGTTTAGTGAACACGTTTTATTCACTGGTGATCTGTGTTGTGTTTAGTGAACTCGTTTTATTCACTGGTGATCTGTGTTGTGTTTAGTAAACACGTTTTATTCACCGGTGATCTGTGTTGTGTTTAGTAAACACGTTTTATTCACCGGTGATCTGTGTTGTGTTTAGTAAACACGTTTTATTCACCGGTGATCTGTGTTGTGTTTAGTAAACACGTTTTATTCACCGGTGATCTGTGTTGTGTTTAGTGGCACACACTGATAATCCAGAAAGACTAGTGAATTGTGTTGTATCTAGTGAACATAAATGTGTGTTCACTTAGTGTGAATGTGTTTAGTTCAATGATGATCTTGAAAGACTATTGACTTGTATTTAGTGAACATCTGTGTTAATTGATGATCTGTGAAAACTAGTGACTTGTGTTGTATTTAGTGAACTGGAATGTTCACCAGAGATCTGTGTTGGTTTTCAGTGACTGGTAATGGAAGTTCTTTTTAGTGAACACCAATGTTAAGTGGTGTATCTGTGTTGTTCTTAGCCACTGGTGATCTGGGTTGTTTTTAGTGAATGTGTGTGCTAACTGGTGATCTGTCGTGTTATTAGTGAACTCTGAACATGTGTGTTCACTAATGATCCGTGTTGTTTTCTGTGAACATTTGTGTTCAGTGGTGATCTTTGTTGTTTTTAGATACTGGTGGTCTGTCTTGTTTTTAGTGACACACTAGTGGTCTGTCTTGTTTTTAGTGACACACTAGTGGTCTGTCTTGTTTTTAGTGTGTGTTCACTAGTGATCTGTGTTGTTTTGAGTCACTGATGATACCTGCTTTTTTTTGTGTGAACATGTGTGTTCAGTGGTGATCTGTGTTGTTTTTAATGACTGCTTAGTGTAAACTCCACCATACACCACTTTGAAAAGTGGTGTATAAAATAGTTTTCCAGCAAAGCAATTGATATTTCCTATTTGTGTTGCAAGTGCTGTAAAACTCTACTTAAATAAAATATCTACAATTTATATTACTGTCATGACTTATCGTTGATATTATTGTCATCATTATTAATAGTAGTAGTAGTAGTAGTTTTGAAGTATTATTATTATTATTACCATTATTATTTTTATTTTTATTTTTATTATTCTTTCTGTTATTATCCTCAGCAATATATATATCGCTATTCTTCTTCTTCTTTTTATTATTATTATTATTGTTGTTATTATTATTATCCTTAGCAGTATATTGCTATTGTTTTTATTGTTTATTATCATTATTTTTTATATTATTATTATTGTTATCATTATCCTCAGCTATAGCCACCGTGTCGGCGGCCCCTAACGGTCACATCCTACAGTACGGGGACAGCCCGGGCGGTCCCATGCCCATGCGCCCCATCTACCCGCGCACACAGTACAACACGCAGTACAGCAGCGCGGCACGCGTCAACGCGGGAGATCTGCCGCACACGTGTCCCCCGGCCGCCAGTGAGTACACGCATTGTGTTACCTGTGTGTAGGTCCTTTTTGGGGTTGGGTTTTTGTTTTTTGTTTTTTATATTTTATTATTTTGTTTCGGGGGGGGGGGGGGGGTGTTTGGGTTGGTTATTGAACTTTATGTGTGGTTTTTCTTTTGTGCATGTGGGTTTTCTTCCATTTTTTTCTGGTTTTTGTTTTTTTAGTTTAATTTTGAAAGGGTTTTTTTGTTGTTGTTTTTTTGGTTTGGTAAAAGACTACTTAGTTCAAATCAAGAAACCCAACTAAATAATGAAAAAAACAAAAAAGATTTTGTTTGTGTATCTTGAGTGACGAATGTGCATGTACTGCATTGGAAAGTAGTGTTAGGTCTGCTTCTTAACAATGTTTTCTTCCTGCATGAGGGTAACAAACCTTCATATGTGTATGTATGTGTGTGGTTGAGGGGAATAGGGTGTGAATGGGGGAAGTGGGGCTGGGGGGGGGGGGTAGTGTGTTTTTGTGTGCATATACATGTGGGGGTGGTAGAGATGATGTGTGGGAGACAGGTAGATAGGGTGTATGGGAGTTCGTTGAGGGGGAGTGGTGGGCAGGGTGGGAACTACTTTCATTTATATTTTAATCTATTTATGTGTGCCATATATGTGTGGCGTCGGTGGCCTAGCGGTTAGGCAACAGGACTTGTAATCCTGAGGTTCCTGTTTCGGGGGTTCGAGCCTTGGGCCTGATGTTGTGTCCTTGGGATACACGAATTTTCCTCACTTCACCCAGGTATGAATGGGTACCCGGTAGCTGTGAAAGATCTTGTCGGTATGGTAGCGTTTTTAATTTAGCGCCTATAAATGGCTGCTTGCACTGTATGCTTCCCAGGAAGTTGAGGTTGTTTCAGAATGCTCTCAGGTCTGCTGGGGTAATAGTATAGATTGTGAAGTGCATAGAGCTTGCTGTTGAGCGGGGACTTGCTCTATTCAAATGTTATCTATCATTACTATTGTACTTTATATAGAATAGTCTTGATACCAGCTGTATTGGGTATACAATTTTTAAATTTTGAGTTTCTGCTCACATGTGTTTCCCTGGGGTCTTAGAATTGTTCTGTTCTTTGGCTTGTTTGCACCTCTACAGCATGCTCTGCACTTTACAATTGTCACTACCCCCCCCCCCCCCCCACACCCCTCCTCCCTCCCAGCAGACCCTAAAATACTTAGAGATACTCTCGGCTTCACTGGTAGAATTTATCAGCATTCTGGTGTGGTCCTTCTTATCTATTCCTTTGTAGTGTTTCTTCATTCTGAGAGTTTTCATAGAAAATTTTGGAGGGTGGTTGGCGAATGCTCTCGTGTGGTTTGCTTCTCCTTCTTTCCTATATCAACATCTATCGTCCTTATCTACCCCTCCTTCTTTCTTATGTTTGTTACTCTCTTGTAACACCTCTAATCTTCTGGCGGTTATATGACCCTATGCAGTTGCGAGCGCCGTAAAGACTCTACCAAAACTAAACTAAAACATAGAAAATGTTGGCTGTTGACTGTATCTCAACAACTCTGCCAAAAGGGGGGAAAGAATTCACTTACACTCACACTCACAGGGCTTATATATCACTTGATGAAGTTGCGAGCGCCTTAACACTTTTACCAAGCTGAAAATGCACCCCCAGAGCTACGGGTGGGTGGTTGGTGGGTGCTCTGTGGTGGTTTGCTCTTTCTTTCCTATCAAACATCTATCGTCCTGATCTCTCCTCCTTCTTACTTGTATTTGTTACTCTCTTGTAACACCTCTAATTTTTAGCTCTTGTATGATCTGATTGTGTTGCAAGTGCTGTAAAACTTTTACTAAAACTTACAACAGAGCTACGAGCTGACAGCATGACTTAACACACCCCTCTTTCCTGCGTCAACCCAGCCCCCTTTTTTCATTTTATAACAGCATTTGGCATGCGTGCATCAGTGTGTGTGTGGTTTGTTTGTCCTCCTCAGGCAAGGTTCTGTCGGCGGTGGACGAAGACGAACGAGACGGGTGCCATGAGGTGACCGGGTCCATGGAGGATTCCTTCAACTCCAGGATAGGATATGGTCGGTTCCTCTCTCTGTCGTGGGTTGTTGGCGGGTGCTCTGGTGTGGTTTGCTTCTTCTTTTTTCCTATGAAACGTCTATCGTCCTTATCCCCCCTTCTTCTTTTTTATGTTTGTTACTCTCTTGTAACACCTCTAATCTTCTGGCGCTCATATGACCTTATGCAGTTGCGAGCGCCGTAAAACCTTTACTAAAACTAAAAACTAACTCTCTGTCTCATTGCCTTTTTTCCTTTCACTTATGCATTTATTTAATTTTCAAATGGGATGGGGTTGGGGTTTTTTTTTTGTTTTTTTTGGTTTAGTTTTTTATGTTTAAAAAATATTTTTTTTATTTTCTGAAGTTTTCAAATACTTTTTATTTCCTTTTTATTTTTTTATTTTATTTTTTTTATTATTTATCTTTTTTTTTCAATATATATATATATTATTTTTTTTATTGGTTTGGAGGGGGGAAGGGGAGAGTTGGACAAGTACTCTAGCTTTTGAGGGGGCTCTCTGTTATATGATGGGTAGGCAGTTTAGCTAGTGAGTGAGCGCACCTTGACCAATGGGCGGGCACTTTGTTATATGATTGGCGGGCATTTAGACCAATGGGCGGGCACTTTGTTATATGATGGGCGGGCACTTTGTTATATGATGGGCGGGCTCTTAGACCGGTGGGCAGGCACTTTGTTATATGCTGGGCGGGCACTTTGTTATATGCTGGGCACTTAGTACGCTGGGTGGGCACTTTGTCAGTTTCTACTCCCTCTGTTACATTCTCCAGCCTCCTAGTCATTTTTAAAAATCTGCCTCCTGACACTGAAACGAGCTAGAAGTGCTCTTAGTTGTGCAGATCTTGGACTGTGACTCAAAAGCATGAGCTCCTGGCCTGAGTGCATTGTGTGTGTTGAGATATAAAGATACTAACATTTGCTGCATGGTTCCTGTGTCTGTTTGTATGCACTTGTGTGTGTGCGTGTATATGCATCTGTGTGTGTGAGTGTGTGTGTGTGAGAGAGAGAGAGAGTATGTGTGGGTGTGTGAGAGAGTGAGTGTGTGTGTGTATGTGCTTGAGTGCGTATGAAATTGAAGGTGAGAATGTAGCCTTGTATATAGCTGTTTATGGGTTCAGATGAGAGAGAGAGTGAATGGTGGGTAGTTGAAGAACACGCAGCGAGTTGTTGGAGGGTGCCACTGGCAGGTCCTACTTCTTCACTTTCACTCTGTTGTTTCTGTCTGTCTTAGGCCATTCCCAAAGGGGGGACATTAACCCTGTCTTATGCACAGTAGAATTGTAATTGTAAATGGGCTGATTCTCATAAATGTTCCTGAACTGCAACAGGGAACTGCTGCTTTTTCTTTCCTAATCTTTACTATCGTCATTTTTACTCTACTTTTGTATGTTTGTCATACTCTTGTGACCCGCTATTTCTGGGGTGCCTTGATAGTCGAAGCAGACTTTGTGTTGTTGAAGCTAGAGAGGTGAACAGAGTAAGCCTGATTCCCTGTAAAGACTTCTCTGTTGACATCCACCCCTTGGCGCTCATATTACCTTTTGCAGTTACGAGCTCCGTAAAACCTCTACTAAAAAATATTAAAAAACAACAAACTTTTTTTCCCCTCTATTGTTTCGGTCTGTCTGCCATGCTTTTTAAAATTTTGTCCCGCACAAAATTATTTCTATTGTGTCAATGAGCTTCTCTTTACTCTGACTCTTAACTCAAACGCTAGAGAGTAAATTTTTAAAAAAGTAAAATTAAGGAAATAGAAAAAGAGGGAGTCCTGGTTTTGAAATCCGTACTGCCTTGTGTGTCTGGTCTCAAACTCGAGAGAGTGAAATTTTAAAAAGTTAAAATAAGGGAAAAGAAAAAGAGGGAGTCCTGATCCTAACATGTGTACGGCCTTGTGTGTCTGGTCTGACAGTGAAGCCGCAGCAGAATATCAGCCCCTACAAGAAGCCGACGGCCCCCGTTATGTCGGTGCCGAGCAAGGGACAGAGGACTCCCATCTCCTTCAACTCCAAGTCCCCTGAGATGAAGACCAAGAAGGAAGAGTCAGATCTCTCGGTGAGTGATTAGTTTTTTGGTTTTGTTTGGTTTTTGGGTTGTTTTTGTTTTTTTGTTTGTTTTTTGTTTGTTTTTTTGTAGGAGTGGAATGTTCAGTGATTTAATTTAACTGGGGTGTTTGTTTGGGGTTTGTTTTTTTTTGGGGGGAGAGGATTGTTGGTGTTTTTTTAGGGGGGAGGGAGTCTCCGGTGCTTGGAGGGCACCACTGGTAGGTCCTACTTCTTTACTTCCCGTCTGTTGTTACTGTTTTTGACTGTCTGTCTGTCTGTCTGTCTGTCTGACTGTTTCCCAGCTCTAAATGACCTCTATTGTGTTGATGAGCTTCTCTCTACAGTAATTTAGAATTCTAATTTTGTATTGAAATACTAAAGAACAGCGGGTGGTTGGAAGGTGTTGTTGGTAGATCCTGCTGCTCGACTTGTTTCGGTTGTGACTTTCACAATCAAACACATATTTTGTTTTTCAACTTTTCAAAGCCGCAAGTTGAATTGGCCGAATTGTGCCAAAATTCTAGCTTTTTATTTTTCTTCCATGAAGGAAAATCAGGTAACCCCCCTTCCTCAAATATATCAAACCTTATTGAATTCGGATTTGACAAAACTTTGGTATGGAGGATCTGTGGTTTACAGGTCCGTAATGCTCAGGAGCCAGGGTGTAAAGAGTTGATATTAATGCCAGGGATGTAAATCTTCCAGCTTTTTCTGTTTTTTACGGCCGACTTGCCATTGGGGCCCCAGCTTTTAACAAAAGTCTGCTATAAACAATACGTATTATATATACTAAATAAAGATTGTTTGTTGTAACAGAGGGAAAGAAACAAATATAATTTAGTCTCGCTGTATTCTTATTTCAGTCAGTGCGCATATATTTTCCAGCTTTTTTTTTCAAAACCTACTTACATCCCTGTAAATAATTTTCCCAATGGAGTTAGTAGGAAAATTGCATCCAGCCACAATATATTTTTAGTTTCAGTATGAGTTTTGTGGCACTTGCAACTTATTATGATTAGGTAAAATAAGTGCCCATCTATACATTGTGGGTGGTTGGCGGGTGCTCTGGTGTGGTTTGCTTCTTCTTTCCTATCGAACATCTATCGTCTTTATCTCCCCTCCTTTTTTGTGTTTGTTACTCCCTTGTAACACCTCTAATCTTCGGCACTTATATGACCTGATTGTGTTGCAAGTGCCGTAAAACTCTTATTAAAATTAAACATCTTTACATAGCCTAAGGATTACCAGATTTGTAAAACTGATTGTTTCACCAAATTGTCTCATCATCACTATGCTAGCAAAATGAGACATCTCAACTTTGCTGCTTTTGAGATAAATGGAAAAAAACTGTTGAACTAGGCTATTTATCATCTAATAATGGTACAACTTGTTCTCTGTGGCTTCTTTTGTGACTCCCAGCACATTTTTTATTTGATTTTACCAAAAGATAAATATTCAGGGATGGAAATTTACCGTAAATTTACAAAAATGTAATTTTGATTAATTTTGATTTGCTCTGTCATTTTCCGTAAGTGTCCTTTCAATGGTGAGTCATTCTACTATGTGTACTAATGTACAAATTGAATAAGTGTATTTTTCCAAATCTGCACTGCCCACGAAAAGTTCCGTAAATTATGGACAGATCAGTTCCCAACCCTGGACATAGTTGTACTACTTAACAAAATAAAAGGCTTGTTGCATTTTGGCAAGACAGGAAGTTATGCCATTTTGCTAGTGCTGTGACGATATGGTGATAAGCATTAAATTCTTCTTTTTGCTCTTTTTCTCACCGAAATTGTGTGTTAAAAAAGACATGTGATGTGTCTCTCCCCCTCAGAAATCGTTGAGTACGGAAGAGCTGACGGCCGAGATGGCCAATCTGGAGGGTCTGATGAAAGATCTGAACGCCATCACGCAGCAGGAGTTTGAGTGCTAGTCCCCCGAGGTGCAGGGCAGAGGTTTGAGTCTGCCGGCGGCCAACCCCTTCCTTACACTGTGTATGCAGCAGCAGCAGCAGCAGCCTCAGGCTTTCAGCAGGAATAGGAACTGGACCCCGTGGTGTGATGGCGATTTCTAGGCAAAGTCCATCTGCTTGTTGATGTACAAGTAAATCTAAGACCCACACACTCACTTTCACACACCGTCACACACACTCCCACTCTCTCTTTTACTCATACACACACACACACACACACACACACACACACACACACACACACACACACACACTCTCTCTCTCTCTCTCTCACTCTCTTACACATACACACTCACACATTCTTTAACACACACTCACACACACACACTCTCTCTCTCTCTCACTCTCTTACACATACACACTCACACATTCTTTAACACACTCACACATTCTTAAACACACACGCAGATATTCTTCAACACACACACACACACACATACGCGTGTAAGAAATACATCAGCTATGGGACCTCAAGCAATACATCAGCGGCCACCAGCCTCGGGGATGAGTTCCATCATCACAGCCTCTCGTCCAGTTCCTGATTTTGTGGTTCGAGTCTTCTGTGGGGCACATGGTGCAGTAGTTAGTGTGCCCGCCTTGACACTGACTGGCTGTACCGAGAGTCTGTGTGTGTGTTGTGCCTGATTGCACTGTGGATGTTCAGTAGAGTCGGGCACTGAGCGGTAGCTTGTGTGGGGGCGGGGTGGGTGTTATTATTATTTTTTTAAGGACTAAGGCATATTTTCCATCTTCTCCTTGAAGCAAATTTGATTTGGGGGGGGGGGGGGGGAGACTTGGAGGAGAGGGGGCGGATAGACCCTTATGAATCGAAAGCTAGAAGTGCGGGAAATTTTTCTAACTTCGGTGTAACTTTTTGATATTACTTCTAGGGTAACATACGCCGTCAAATTTCCACCCCAAAAAAAATAAATTTAGCTTCAGTTTTTACTTTCAAGCCACGGTCGGTGGATGCTTCGATTCTTCCCTTCTGTCCCTTTCTTGCATATATCCGTCTCTCTTTCAAAATACTTATTGACCGTTACTGATCCGATGGGCTTCTCTGTACTCCGAAGGAAAAAAACAAGCCACTTTGCCCCTAAAATTTGTATTCTTTTTTTTTGGGGGGGGGGGGGTAGTCTCGGCCCCAACCGCTCAGTGCCTGAGACTCTAAGAGTTGGAAGAGTTGATTGACATACAGGCTCTCTCGTGTAATGAAATTTAAATGTATGTGTGCGTGTGTGTGTGTGTGTACTTTGCATGCCTGTGTGAGAGCGTGTGTGTGTGTGTTTTTGCTTGAATGCTGGAAGGCGAAAGCAGAAATGTCAGCTCTCCAATGATTAACCAACAATGTTTTATAATGATGAATTTATAGCCATGTGTGCTTGAAAGTGTGTGTGTATGTGTGCGCATGCAAATGTGTATGTGTGTGTACGCATGTGTGTTTGTGTATGTGTGTGAAGGTGGTTTTGACTGGATGTTGTTTGCTAGTGCGTGAGTGTCTCTGGCCATTTTGGCAGGACTTGCGTGGGATCTGCGAGTGGAAGACTGGACGTCTGAGGTGATGGTGTGAGTAGATCGTCCACTGACCAGCATTTAGAGCCAGGAAATTCTCTCAAGTCTTTTGGTTGTCTCCCAGAAGCAAAGAGGTTATATTATAATACTAGAGCTCGCGCAGTGATGTCACATGTGTCAGACATGGGAACCTTCTTATCCCAAAGAGGTTATATTATAATACAAGAGCTCACGCAGTGATGTCACACGTGTCAGACATGGGAACCTTCTTATCCCAAAGAGGTTATATTATAATACAAGAGCTCACGCAGTGATGTCACACGTGTCAGACAGGGGAACCTTCTTATCCCAAAGAGGTTATTATGATGACAAGAGCTCGCAGCAGCGACGTTGCGTGTGTTGGACATTGGAACCTTCTTACCCCAAAGAGGTTATATTATAATACAAGAGCTCGCAGCAGTGACGTCGCACTTGTCAGGCATTGGTGAGGCGCTTTCTTACCCTCATCGGCGTGGCCGGAGCACCCCCATGTACATGAACAATCTGAGCCCCCCCACCGCGCTCCCCACAGACTCTAGTACGAAATATAACCTCTTTGCCCAGAAAGGGAAGTCGGGCATAGCGTCAGGGGAAATGGCAAACTGTGTCTATCATCGGTCGCCGAGATTTCTGGTTTACTAGCGGTACAGAAATAACAGATTTTGGGCTAGTATTCTGATTTTGCAATTACCGAGCAAATTTAATTCTGTATCATTTGGAAATAATAAATGACAGACAATTGCTGATGTTTTCAGTTGGTAGATTTTGTCTTTCTATCGCACAATCGGCGAGCGAACAGGAAATTCTGCAAGCGACACAGTTTGTTATTTTTGCTGATGGTTTGTGATGACGAGCCCTTCTGACTGCTACAACCACTCAGCGGTTTTATATATATATATGTGCATGTGTGCTTATGTATTTACATACATGCCAATATATATTTACATATACATACATATACATATAGATATATATATATACCACCTGTACGTATCTTTATATTTCATATTGTTGTAGGCTGCGTTTGAATTTTGATCTTTATGCAGTGCGTTTTTCCTGTTTATTGAAATTTTGATTTAAGATTTCCTTGCTGCCAGACAAGCACTGGTGTTTAGCTCTGTGACTTTTTCTTTATGCCACTGAAGTCTGCGTCGCCTGCTTCCCTCATCTACTTTAGCTGGGGTGGTTTTGACTCACTGGGAAAGCACCAGACATTGGTGTCAGACAGGCTAGAGTAATTTAAAAGTCACGACGAATGTCCTTTGCCAGTTGAGGCGGTTTTTTTGTCACACATCGGTGGCTGGGTGCGAGACATTTTTGTGGTTCGGTGTTTGTGAGAGTCTACCACCCAGCCATCGACAAGATCAAAAGGAGTTTGCAGGACATATCAGGGTATGTGACTCCTGTGTGTAAAGGGTAGTCGACTCCTGTTTGTATAGTTGGACTTTTATTCATATAATCGACTTTTATTCATATAATTTTAGTTCCTTTTGGAAAACTTTTGATGGATATATTTTTAATAGATTTGTAGCAAAAGCAATATAAATAACTCAAATCAGATTTTGCTTTAAAATCAAAATGGCTGCCCCACAACGCATTTGTTTCTTGAAGAAGGAATGATCAATGAAAATAAAGAAGGGTATGTGCAAAGATTAAAAAAAATATGAAGGATGTTTCTTGTAAGTCTTAAACTTAAAGTCTATGTGTGTGTTGGTTTTTTAAAAAACGCTAAAAGTTTGGTGAGATCTTCCAAAGGGATTTGCTTATTGCAGAGGAAAATAATGGGGGGGGGTGCTGTTTTTTCTCACCAAACATAAATTATTTAACCAATTGGTGGAAGTTTTCGTCTCAGTTGAGGTGAAACTTGTGTCATCCTTCCTCTACCCTTTCCCCACAGTTTGGACATGGGACCAACTCTTTTACTTTGTGAATCAGTATAAAGGAGTAGAATTTTTATGAAAAATGAAGAGGGGGGGGGGGGGGATAAAAAGCTGCAGAAGCTTCAGAATGTGACTCCTCTTGAGCGAAAGCTCTGTAGCAGTCTCTCAGATTTGAAGCGGACTGCACAGTTTGTGCGCGGCATTGGACTGACTGTCTAGCTGCTGTCGTCGAGAACGAGGTAAAAGAAGAAGCAGAAGCTTGGCGTGTAGTGTTGTGGTTTTGGTTGTAAGCTTTTGGTAGTTGTGAAGTCAAGCATGGACAGTTGGAGTGAATGGGTGGTTGGCAGGTGCTCTGGTGTGGTCTGCTTCTTCTTTCCTTTCAAACATCTGTCATCCTTATCTCCCCCTTCTTCTTTTTTATGTTTGTTACTCTCTTGTAACACCTCTAATCTTCTGCCGCTCGTATGACCTTATGCAGTTGCGAGCGCCGTAAAACCTTTACAAAAACAAACAAAGAAAAAGCAATTGCAAGTGCCGTAAAACACGGTACTGAAACTAAACTAGGTGACTGATGACTAGTGAGCGAATTATGGATGAACGAAAGGACTCCCGATCTTGAAAAACAAACTTGTTTGATTGCGAAGGTCACATTCAAATTGGTCGTCGCGCACGCACGCACACACACACACGCACGCAATCACACTCACATGCGCGCGCGCGCACACACACACACAAACATGCACTCACAAACACACGCACACACACAAAAGGTACATAGTTTTTGCCCCACCCATGAAGGAAAATCTGGACTGCCGCGTCTCAAATCGACAAGCAAGAGGCATCACGCAGTGTCACTCTCTGTGTCGTTAAGTTAAGAAACACCCCCACAAGTATATAATGGTCATTTATTAGTTAATTCTGGGGGGAAATAATTTTGAATGTGTTAAGATAAGATAAGATCATACTTTATTAATCCAGAGGGAAATGTTTCTTGGCTGTACAGGACCGTAAAAACACATGCAGGTATACATTTTAAAAAATAATTTTTTGTTATATAATACTCTCATTAAAATTCAATTTGGAAAGAGAAGTAAAGCTGACAAAATGTACATTTACATCAAATATCAAATGCATCATTCAACCACATGCAGGAGTTTAAATTAACAAGACCTACGGACTCTGAAAGCCTCGTAGTCACTGAGCAGCGCCGGAAGTAGACCAAAAAAATCCTAATTTCTCTCCTCTGGAACTTGATGTCACAAACTACACATTATGTAGTATGTGGTTTGTTTGCCATGATGAACAGCCGAACCATTGGACACCCAAGACGCCATTTTGATTTAATTTATTGTAAATTAAATCGATTTAATAAAGAAGAAAGTTTCTTCTGTCTAGATTTTGTTGTTTCCATTGTTCAGTGGTGTTTAATTAACAAGGAAAGTGTTGGGTTTGAACCCACAGAGTAAAAGATCAAGCAAGGGGAAGACCACGTGGAACCTGGAGAAGTATCACAGAAATCGAAAATGTACAGAAAAGTGGGAAGACATGAAATAACATCAAGAGGCTAGCCCGGGGTAGGGAAATGTGGAAAGTGTTTGTTCGTGGCTTATACTTATACCCTGGTGCAGGGTGAGAAAGGCAATGTTGATGATCGTTCAGTTGTGTCGTTAGTCTAGAATCTAGTTGATAGACTGCCAGACGGGGGTGGTTGGCAGGTGCTCTGATGTGGTTTGGTCCTTCTTCCCTATCTAACATAATATTTATCGTCCTGATCTCCCCAACTTATTTTCGGTGTATGATTTTACTCTCTTGCAACACCTCTAATCTTCGGCACTTACATTGCATGACCTTATACTTATTGTGATGTAAATGCCGTCATTTGTGAACGGTCCCTTTCTAATAGAGAAGTGCTCCAAATGGCGGGATTTGAACATGATCAGAACCATCAGAAAAAGACAATTGAGATGGACTTGAGAAAGTGCTGATGTGTGGATAGATAGATCGAGAGGAAAGAAAAGCAGGTGAAGACAAAGAACTATAAACCACATACCCAGATTGTCTGAACAACCTTGCAACGAATTTATAATGCAACGAAAAAAAGACAAGAAGGGAGACAATAGGAAGGGATGGGGTGCCATGATCGTCAATGTCTTTTCTTTTTAAACAGAGGTTTTACGGCGCTCGCAACTGCACAAGGTCATATGAGCGCCAAGGGGTGGATGTCAAGAGAGAAGTCACTACAAGGAATCAGACTTACTCTGCTCACCTCTCTAGCTTCAACAGCGCAAAGTCTGCTTCGACTATCAAGGCACCCCGGAAATAGCGGGTCACAAGAGTGTGACAAACATACAAAAGAAGTAGAGGAAAATGACGATAGTAAGGATTAGGGAAGAAAAAGCAGCAGTTCTCTGTTGCAGTTCAGGCACAGTTATGAGCATGACATTGATGAATCAGCCCATTTACAATTGCAATCCAACTGTGCATAAGAACTCGAGATGTTAATGGAGGAGGAGGAGGAGGAGGAGGAGGAGGAGGAGGAGGAGGAGGAGGAGGAGGAGGAGGAGGAGGAGGAGGAGAAGAAGAAGAAGAAGAAGAAGAAGAAGAAGAAGAAGAAGAAGAAGAAGAAGAAGAAGAAGAAGAAAAAGAAGAAAAGAAGGAGGAGGAGGAGAAGAAGAAAACATCACTTGCATAGTAGTACGATTCACTGACCGAAGAGTAAGACTATGCAAAGATGCATACATTACATAACAAACCTTTTCACGTCACGGTGAACGAGTGCACTTGAAACTGACAAGATAATAATAATAATAATAATAATAATAATAATAATAATAATAATAATAATAATAATAATAATAATAATAATAATAATAATAATAATAATAATAATATTGATAATAATAATAATAATAATAATAATAATAATGATAATAATAATAATAATAATAATAGATAGCATTTGTATAGCGCATATCCCCGCTCGACAGCAGGCTCTATGCGCTTTAATAATAATAATAAATAGCATTTATACTGCGCATTTCCATTTCCTAAAAGATGCTCAATGCGCATTAGAATGAAAAAGACATCACATCTTAAAAATTAATCGACACAAATGTGTACGTAAAACAAAGTATTATACATATAATATAAATGCATATGTGTAAAATTTTATACCAGAAAAACAGTCTCGCAGTGAGGTTGAAAATGTGTTCATTAAAAATATACAATGCAATATAAATTCACGAACAGTCAAAATACAGTTGAAATTTACACTATATTATTACCCCAGCAGACCATAGAACACTCTTATTCAGGCTCCGGATGATTATCTTTTAAATAGCCCTCAAGCAGATGATGCGAACATTCAAAGTCATTAGGATTATAAGCTAATTGCTTGTCTTTAGCTACTTTGAGTATTGTGTTTATTGCGTTACAAATTAACTTTTTGATCTCTTCCAAGGGATATTAATAATTAAAATATTGCCTCGCGAAAGAAGAAAAGATAGGCCTATATCTCTATATGCAGGGCCGTTCATCGAAATTTGTTTTACTTGACGTAACGTATTATGTATTCCGAGATCAATTGTTATTTCCTCGGACTCCTCTTACACACACACACACACACACACACACACACACACACACACACACACACACATGATACACACATATACACAATATAATTTTTAAAGCACACCGGCACGCACAGACACACATACAAACACACACGAAGCGTGCGCGCACATACATTTACAAATGCTATACGCGCACACGAACACACACACACACACACACACACACACACACACACACACACACACACACACACACAGAGTGAGATAGAGATAGAGTGAGAGAGAGAGGAGAGAGAGAAAGAAAGAGAGAGAGAGGAGAGAGAGAAAGAAAGAAATAAAGAGAGAGAGAGAAAGAAAGAAATAAAGAGAGAGAGAGAGAGAGAGAGAGAGAGAGAGAGAGAGAGAGAGAGAGAGAGAGAGAGAGAGACGGGGGGGGGGGGGAGAATATTATGTCACTTGTCTCGGGAGTTGACTTGGGTGCACCAACAGTTCCACTTACGACTTGCACCGGTCACATGTATCTTTGTATTATTACATTTTATCTGGTATGGCCTTAGGTCTGGCCCTTGTAAAAAGAGGTCAGACGGTCAGTGGTGTAAAAGACGATTCCTGCATACAGGTCCGTGTTACGTAATGTGGGTCAAATCTGAGGTCAGATACTGTAGGCTATATGTATTGTGTGGGAATGAGAATGAGATAGATCTTAAAAAGATAATAACACATTATTTGTTATCTCAGTCTCCAAAGCAGAACTGTAATTTCCCTCTTTTGAATTCTACAGTCATATAATTGCAGCTGTTTGGCTATTTGTGTCAAGTGTGACTTAAAGTATTTTGTGCAAAACTCTGCCAAGATAAAACGATCATAATAAAGCCTATTATGCTATAATTTTATTGGGTTGTTGATTTGATGCGCACCGTCGTTGCTTGCCTTATAAGCTTACACTGATCGACTTAGCATAGGACTGATCCACCCCCACTCTATGCACTAAAAAAAATAACTTTATGTAATTATTTTGTAACGCTATTGAGAAAACTGATACGGTCATTGTGTTTACATATGAACTTAGGTTATTAATGTCAGGGTCATTTCTGGGGCAGTTACACAACGCAAAAAAGTGTCCGTTATTTCCACCACTGTAGAAAATCTGACATAGATCCAAAAAGGCTTTCTTTTCGTAGAAGAGTTCACAGATACGCAATAACTATAATAAAAGTCAAACGCTAACCTCTTAACTGTGCGTGCGATAAAGTTCAGTCCAGGACATAACCCAGTCTGGTAGTCTGGTGGTGTGGAAGAACGAAAGTTCTCGTGGTTTCCATTCTTTTTGGTTGCTGTGTCTTCTTGAATGAGATTTTATGAGGATTTGTGTTTGTGTTTATATTTTCACTCACCAGGTTTGGTTTGGCTCTGAGTAGATCTAGTTCAGTAGTCTGACCTAAATTGAGGCCCAGATTTCTAATCTACACCGCAGTACAATAATTACAAAATAAAAACAGTTTGTAACTTGTTTATCATCCGTTTTTAATCGAAAACGAAATGTCGCAACAGGATACAGCGGCGGAGAGTCATCTACCATACTTCGCAGAGGGACCTGTGGTGTCCGGTTTTGGACGAGGAAGCAAAGAACTAGGAATCCCAACAGGTAGCCTTTCTCTGAATTCTATCTTAAATCTAGATCTAGATATCTAGATCTAGATTATATCTAGATCTATCTAGTCTAGATCTAGAATCTAGATCTAGATTCTAGAGCTCTAGAATCTAGAGGTTCTAGTCTAGATCTAGAGACTAGATATCTTGATCTAGAATCTAGATCTAGATCTAGAGCCTAGAGGTTAACTGTCATTCAAAGGTCCTGGGTTCGAATCCTGGTAGCAACCGAGTTCTTCTCTCTGAAATTGTCTCTCCTGGCTTTCACCTCCTTTCCTGCTCTATATGTGCAATGTTCTGTCGTCTGCTTTCGTCTCCTCTTTCTGCCCCCACCCCCTCACCCCCTCCTGTGGGCTCCTGACTCTTTCTGCAACCTTTCTACTGCTACTCCTTGGCTCCTTTTTACTGCTCTCTTTCAGCCTGATCTTCTGGTAGGAAAGGTCTATACCTATACTATAGCCTTCTCGGATAAGGGCGAAAAATCTTAGAGTTAGAGGGCCAGTGTGCAAGTTGCGCACGTTAAAGATCCCTTGGTGGTCCAAAATCGATAAGAGTAAGCTTCGGCCGCCACCTAGGCAAAATTCAAAATGTCCTACCAACTGAAAAAGTTTAATGTTTGATACGTCCTGCGCGCTCATAATATGACCTTATAAAATGCAGTTGCAAGCACTGCAAAACACTTTTTTAACCCCCCCCCCAAAAAAAAAAATTTTTTTTTTTAAAAATGACTACTTGATCTACTCTAGGCTCTCTCATGTTTTTCTAGACTTTTACTTTTAGAAAACTTCAGCGTCTATCGTCTACGACAATCTCTGCTCTGGTTTGGGTGCCAAAGATGACAATTGATTGAAATATAATCAATCGAAGTGGCTAGCCGTACTTAAGTACGGCTAGACTGAGAGTCTAGCAGTACTTAAGTACGGCTAGACTGAGAGTCTAGCCGTACTTAGATCTAGTTTTGGCCCAATCGACTCAAGCCTGTTAAGTACACAGGTCTCATTAGATCTAGATCTAGTAATTATTCAGGTTCAAATAATGCAAGTCAGTAAGGCACCTTTTGGTTTTGTCTGAAATACAAATACTTTTGGCATTGCAAACTAAAAATTTCATTTACAATTCAGCCATCAATATTAAGTACGGCTAGCCTGACAGTCTAGCCGTCCTTAAGTACGGCTAGCCTGGCTGTCTACCCGTACTTAAGTACGGCTAGACTGCCAGTCTAGCCGTACTTATCTTAGGCCCTATTAACATTAGAAAACAGGAGGTTTAAAATACATACACTGTCATTAAGGCACCTGGTTTCGTCTCAAATACAAATGCTTCAGGTACTGCACACTAAAAATGTATATTTACAATTCAGTAGGCCTATTTTTTGTAAATGATCAGTCTAGCCATCATATTAAGAATAAGTACGGCTAGACTGCCAGTCTAGCCGTCATTAAGTACGGCTAGCCTCTTCCATAATCAATACCTGTAGTCTAGTAGGATTAGGAATAAGGAAGGGTACGGGTAGGGAATACCACTCATTTCATCACACCGATGCAGTCAAGTCAGTCAAGACGGCACAGTCATCTTGTCACACCCCAATTTTGTCACACACTGACAAACATCAAACGCGCATTGTCATTGCGAGGGGGTGTGGAAGGACTGGGGGGGGGGGGGGGGGGTTGCAAGTCGTTGTGTCTACCTGATCTGCAACTGGATTAGTTTTATTCTGTTGTCAGCCTTCTACTAGTTCATCTTCAGAATGGATATTTATATTAACTTTTAACTTTTAAAACCTTCTTTACACTAACAGTTTTTTAAACTTAAGCCCTGGAGCCTGGAAGCGTGCAGGCCCTATAAAGGGCATAGGGCCTGACCCTTTTCAATGGAAAATTTCAGCATTCCTTATAGAAATGCATTTGGGGCGGGTTTCTTCTGGGGTAACGCTGTGCTTCTAGGGCTAGTAGATTTTCTAGAGATGAGGGATGTAATTTCGTCACGCATGGGGTGTGACGAAATGACCGGTTACCAGGGTAGGCCTAGTATTGCAAGATTCTAGGATGTCAAAGTAGGATCTGTGAGCATTGGGGGGCCAAAACCAGATTATCCTCAGTCTACTTGAGCTCGGGGTAGGTCACAAAGGAAAGCAGACGACAGAACATTGCTAGAGAGCAGGAAAGGAGGTGAAAGGAGACAACTTTAGAGAAGAAAATTTTTTCCGTCGCTACCCGGATTCAAACCCAGGACCTTTGAATGGGAGACGGACACCTTAACCTCTTCTAGGACACGAGAGCCCCCTCTGTTGACTAATTACTTCTATACAATTATTCACATATATGCAAACCTACCTTACCTTTAATGCAGAAACAGAGAGAATCCCTTCCCTGTGGGGGAGGGAGGGGGAGGCATTACCTGTTCAAGGTGGAAAATGCTTTGCCCACTATAAGCCCTGATTTGAAACAAAACTGTCAAGTTTGGTTCCAGTGGCTCTAATAATGCCATGCCATTGAGGGGCGTTCAGATACATTGTACCTCTAGGCAAGAGAGGAGTCTGATGTTTTAGCTGCTCTTTCTCACTTTAACTTTAAACAAACCTTTGCACTAGTCCAACATCTGCTTTTATCTATTCCCTTCCCTTTTCTTTGTCATCTGTCCCCATCAAACTCCTTCGGCATTTAATCTCAGATGATAATACGAAGAGAATCAGTTTCATAGAGTAGGGGCGTCCAAAAGCTGGTGCACCATTGAGTAGCTGCTACCATGATGCAGTATATGTGATGAGTCAAAAAACCAAAAATTTTATTAAAATTGTGCCAAATTTTGTGGGGAAAAATGTAGTTTTCTTCAATTTCATTTTTTAAAAAAAATTAACATCTGATTTCACCAGATTTTTCAATTCTGTTTTCTTTTTTTGACTTTGAATATAAACAGGCAACAGCACAATGCATAATATGAAATATGCCAATTCATCTTTCTGATTTATAAATGTTGTGATGGTTCAAAATGTGGGGCAAAGTTTGCTTAGACTGGTCTGCTGCTGGCCGGACATGTGTGTGCGTTTGTTACGTCTTTGAAGGGTTACTTATGGGATTGGCCGAGTCATTGGACCGAGTTTCTCACAAGTTTGTGTTTGATCAGACGTTAGTCTGGTTCAGATGACTCGGCACAGCTTTAGAATCAATCTGGGTCAAAGTTTATATGTTCTGTTCCACTTTTTGATCCAGGCTTGGCTTATCTCATTGAATATGCCACTCTAGACTCTAGTCGAAGTACTGTAAGAACTGGCAGGTGTTTGCTCAGCCAGTTTGTATTTTTTGAACATGTGACATATTATGCAATAGTGGGGTTTTTCTTACATTCTCATCCCAGGGTCATTTTCATATACACATATACTTTTCGTTGTTGTTGGTGATTATGCTGGTGCTGTTGTTGTTGCCGTTAATTGTTTTGTTTTGTTTTTGCAAGTGTTTTACGGCGCTTGCAACTGCATAATAAGGTCATATGAGCGTGCGGGACACATTAAACTTTTTCAGTTGGTAGGAAATTTTGAATTTTGCCCGGGTGGCGGCCGAAGCCTACTCTTATCGATTTTAGACCACCAATGGATCTTTATCGTTCGCAACTTGCACACTTGCACCTCTGAGATTTTTCACCCTTGTCCGAGAAGGCTAGGTGTAGATCTTTCCTACCAGAAGATCAGGGGTGTGGCTGAAAGACAGCAGTAAGAAGAAGCCAAGGAGTAGCAGTAGAAAGGCTGTAGAAAGAATCAGGAGCCCAGAGGAAGGGGGCAAAGGAGATGAGGGAGTGTGGGTAGAAAGAGGAGACCAAAGCAGACGACAGAACATTGCTAGAGAGCAGGACAGGAGGTGAAATGAGACAAATTTAGAGAATAAAATTTTTCGGTCACTACCCGGAATTGAACCCAGGACCTTTTAATGAGAGGCCAACACCTTAACCTCTAGGCCACGAGAGCCCCCCGTTAGTTGTTTTTATGACATAATTGGTCGCTTTTAAGCACAAGGGGGCTATCCCGAAAAATGCTGTTTTGAAAAAATCAAAGGTAAAGTTTTTGCCCCTTGTTCAGTTTCTTTAAAAGACAAGGAGAGTTTTCTCTATAACCAAACAAATATACACACCAATGAAATCAAACTTCTCCAATAGGTAGGGCAATGCCCACTTTTGGTGCAGGTCAAGATTTCTGGAAACCCCCGAAATATGGGTTAGTTAGCCCTCTTGTCCTTAAAAGCGACCAATTATCATGTAGGTGTTTTTTTACGCCTCCATTGACACAAGTTAGCGGGTGGTTGGCGGGTGCTGCTGTCTGTTGTGTGGTTTGCTCCTTCTTTCCTCTATTAAACATCTGTCTTCCTTTTCTCACCTTCTCTTTTTCTTGTGTTCGTCACTCTTTAACCCGTCATATCTTCGACCCTTGGTGTGGTTTGCTTCTTCTTTCCCATCAAACATCTGTTTTCTTTATTTCTCCTCCGTTTTGTGTGTGTGTGTGTGTGTGTGTGTGTGTGTGTGTGTGTGTGTGTGTGTGTGTTTTACTCTCTTGTAACCTTTAATCTTCGACACTTATATGACCTTATTGTGTTGCAAGTGCCGTATAACACTTAATAAAACTCAACCTTATACAATAGTTATCACTTATACCTCTACTGTAACATCTCTGACCTCTGATCTTCCTCACGTGTATGGCCTTATTGTGTTACAGTTGCTGTAAAACTCTTAGTGAAATTGAACAAAGTGGGTGGTTGGCGGGAGCTCTGGTGTGGTTTGATTCTTCTTTCCTATCTAACATCTATCGTCCTTATCTCCCGTTCTTCTTTTTTTTATGTTTGTTACTCTCTTGTAACACCTCTAATCTTTTGGCGCTCATATGACCTTAGGCAGTTTGCTGCGCCGTAAATCCTCTACTAAAACAAAATCTGATCTTCGGCATTTGTATGACCTTATTGTGTTACAGTTCCCCTTGAAACTCTAAAGTCTTAGTTTTAGTAGAGGTTTTACGGCGGTCGCAACTGCATAAGGTCATATGAGCGCCAGAAGATTAAAGGTGTTACAAGAAAGTAACAAACATAAAAAAGAAGAAGAGGAGATAAGGACGATATATGTTTGATAGGAAAGAAGGAGCAAACCACACCAAAGCACCTACCAACCACCCACTTGAAACTCTTACTGAAACTAAACTAAACCATATCCAATAATAATTATTATTTATTCCTCTCTTACTGTTCCTTCCTTCCTCAGCGAACTTCCCGGAAGATGTGGTCCGGGCACTACCAGAAAGCTTTGCCTGCGGCGTGTATTTCGGCTGGGCAAAAATCGGTTCCTCGGATGCGATCTACAAGATGTCTCTGTGCGTGGGCTGGAACCCTTATTACCATAACACAGTCAAGACGATGGTGAGTCGGGGAGGGGGGAAAGGGTGGGGTGGGTG